CAAATGGGATGGGAAGGGCTGGTGTTGCCCTCAAGTCTCTGCCCTGTTTTGGCAGTGGGGATGGTCTGGCCAAGGCTGAAGTGCTGGCTGCGGAGAAGTGTTGATCCCCCAATCCCTAAGGAGATTCTCATGATGCCAAAGGCACCTCCAATTCAGGACAACATTCAGTCCCATTCCTTTGGGACATGGCACCCATCTGTCCCCATCACCCAGCTCTCCTCCTGCCAGCACCCCTCACCCAGCCCACTCCCCACGCTGCTCCTGGAACGTCCTAGTGGTGGGTTAAGTCAGCCCAATGCAAGATTCCTGTGTCCTGAGTTTCAAGTTGGTCTCCAGCTTTTCCTTCCCACAGCCCCAGGATCCCAGGTCTCCAAAGGCAGGAACTTCCTGGAAATTTTGTGCAAAGAGGAGAAGGGAGAGACATCCCCCCAGTGCTTGTCTTCTGCTGAACCTCGCAGGGGATACTCCCACTGCCCAGGGCAGCTCAGGCACCAGGTGGGGGTCTCCCAGTAACCTCCTGCCTCCTCCCCACCTGTGGGAACGCCCTCCTGAGATTCTTGGTATCCACAGCTGAGTGACTGTAAGGCTGGCAAACAAGGGCACAAAGTCAGAGCTTGAGCCAGGAACGAGCTGAGCCTTGGGGAAGTGCCTTCCCGGGCTGTTTGTTCCCCGCTGGGGGCTGGCACCAGGCCAGGCCTTTGCTTTGGAGACTAATCCTCTGGGTTTAGAGCTTCCTGGCACTCCTTGGGAGTGAAAAACAAGCGTGACTGCTCAGGGCCTCATGGGTGTGTGGGCACGGGTGGGTGACAAGGAGAGGCTCAGGGCTTCATTCCCTGCCTGTGCCCTGCTTCCAGCCCAGCCAGGGTGCCAGGAGGGAGTGGTGGCACAGCTCTCCCCTTCCTCCTCCCTGGGTGCTGGGCACCCACCCTGGCCCATCAGCATCTCTGATGTGGCACCTTCTTCCCACTTACATGACCCATTGCTTGGCAGGAGTGCCCCTACACCTCCCACATGGGAACTGGACCTGGGGACGTCCAGGAGTGATGCCAAAAGCTGTGTGTGCCCAAGAGATGTGTGTGCCCAAGAGATGTGTGTGCCCAAGAGATGTGTATGCTCCTGCCACCAGCTCTGCAGTCTGTGGGGACCAGAAGAAAAATATGAATTGCTCGTCTGAGAAATTAATCTTCTTTCCCTGACTTAGCTCAGCCTGACCTAGAAGAAAGCCCCTGGGGTGTTTTTTCCCCCCTGTGGGATGTTTAAAGAGAAAACTACAGCAAATGTGTTGCAAAGAGGCTGTGGGAGACAGGGGCCAAACCTGCAGGAGAGCAAAGTGGTGTGGGCAAGGTTGGAATGGTTTTAGGCAGGATTTGCCAGGCTGCCCTCTCCTGCAAGGCCCTCTGGTCTGGGGTGGGTGGGCTGAGAAAATTTCATCTGCCCAACAGTGGGCAGTAAAAGGGAAACAGTAAAATGTTAAGAGATGTGTTGGGTTCCTCCTGGCAGGGTGCAGAGTCAGGGGGACTTTTGGCTGGAGAGAAGTAAAAGCTCAGCTGATGGAGAGAGAAATGGCAATGGAAACAAAGCAGCTGCAGCACTCAGTGTCCCCCTTGATGGCTGTGGTCCTGGAGTGGTGACAGGGGCTGGGGCTGGGTGGAGGGACAGCACTGACCACCAGGACAGGGACAGGAGGTGAAATATGCCTCTCTCAAGACTTGCTCCTGCCCCACTAAACCTCCTGCTGTCTCATTTCACATCCTTTTTCCTCTTTTTCCTCAGTCCCTTTCTTCCCCAGGGATGAAGCCTGGATGGCCCAAATGCCACCCTTGGGTTTGTGGGCATAGGCTCAGTAAGGGAAACCAACCACCCCAGCACCAAAATGACCCCAATTAAATGCTGAAGTTCATGTCTTGGGGGTTACATCCCGGTGTGGAGCTTCACCAGCCTTTAAAGCTCATCAGCTGCCCTGCAAAGGGCTCTGCTCCTGAGCTGAAGGGCCAGAAACCCCTTCCCTGCTCCCTCCCTATCTCAGTTTCCCTTTTGTAAGGATTGGGGGCATTAGAAAGGAAAGAAACACCCAGCACCATGCAGCTCCTCTTGCTCCTGAGGACCTTTTTATGTCTGTGCCATGGAGTTGGTTCCAGCTCCACAAGTCGTGGAGGAGAGAAGGGAGGCCAGGCAGTTGCTCTGGTGTTTATCCATGTGTGTCTGACTGCCTGTCCCTCCTCATCAGAGTGCTTAGACTGGGAAGGGAGCGCAGCACTCGTGGCCATCCAACAACTCCTTTTGCAAAGGGATCTTGAGTCCAGGACCAGCCCCAGCTGGAATCTCTGAGCTGGGAGAGAGGTGATGCTGGGAACTGAAAGGATTTGAGGCAGTTTTTTGGGGCAGCAGTCCCCATTTTGGAGGCTCAGCCCTGGGTCTTGGGGCAGGAGGGTGCAGGCGGTGTGAGCAGCGAGGATTATGGCTGCTATAAAAAGCACCAGCATCTCTCGCCCCTGCTCCCTAAGGCGCTTAGGGGAGGAAAGAGGGAATTAAAGAGCAACCTCCTGCACTGAGGAGGTGCAGGGACTGGGGAGCAGCCAGACAGCCTGGCACACTCATCAGACCCTTCCCCCCTCAGCATCCCCAAAAACCTCCCCTGGACAAAGCAGACCCCAGCACGTCTGCCCATGGACCTTCTCCCTGGGCCCTTGCTGTTGGATGACCAGATTTTCATACCCTGCTTGTTGTTGTGGGGGGCAAGGAGAGGGCTGAGGGGTCCAGCCCAGCCTGGAGAGGGGATCCTGGTGGGCAAGAAGATAAGGGTGCTGTACCATTTGCACTGGCCCCCAACAAAAAATGTGGAGCTCTCCCTTCCCCGTTCTCACAGCTTCACTCATCTGCTTGGTCCTGTCCTGCCACCCTGCCCCAGAGGTCCTCTGAGGGTACTGGAGATGTCCTCCAAAATGCAGCCAGCTGCATGGGTGGATGGCTGGACAGAAGAACACTGAATTCTTGGAGGGACAGGGGTTACTTTCAGCCAAAAGCCACACTCTGCCTCCAGTGTCCAGAGGCAAAATGGCTCCACAGCCTTGGGACTCTCTGACAGGCTCACAGTCATCCTCAGAGCTCAGCACTAGTGCTGTGTCTGGGGACATTTTTGGGGACCGGTTAGGGGGAAGACAGGTGCCAGACGATGGTGATGATGGCAAAGATGCAGGGATGGGGGGATGTGAAAGGCAGGTGGTGTGGGAAACTGTGGTCTCTACAGTTTTGCACTGGCATGTGGCAGGTTCCAGTGGGGTCAGTTACAAAAGCAGCTACAGCCGTGGGGTCCTGCGGAGCTCTGGTGCCAGCCTGGTTCCTGGCACTGACCAGGTGTGACCCCTTGGCTCAGGGAGATGGGTTGGTGGCTCCCCTCACCATGCACGCTGCTGTAACATTACCCAGGGCTCAGTTGGTCTGGGAAACGGACACAGCACCAGGATCCCTCCTTGCATCCCTGCAAAAGGGGAGCTTTGAAACAGAGGTGCTGACTCCAAGAGGCTGAGGGGAGTGGGCTGAGGGCACTTCCTCACCAGCCCCTTCCCAGAACTGAGCAGTCTGGTGGACCCCGGTGCTGGTGGCCACAGGAGGGAGCTTGGCTCCTTCCTTCTGCTCCTGCTCGGAGGACGGTGGCCTCGGGTGGGTGTCAGCCACACTGGCCCCGGGTGCGGGTTGTTGGTTGGTACAGGAGCACCTCCTCTGGGTCAAACCATGTCACATGGGACCCGAGGTGTCTCAGGGAGGGAGCAAGAGCCTGGCTGGAGTGGAGGTGGCTGCCTCCATCCTCAGGGAAGCCTCCACCTTATTTCCAGCAGCCGATGGGTCCACAGTGCAGATAAGTCACAGAGCTGTTTCTTGCAGCTGTGGGGGGACCTGTTGTGCCCAGTGAGTGGCATGTCCCCTTGCCAGGGACCAGTCCCTCTGAGAGCAGTGCCAGTGTGGGACACGTAGTCTCGCTGTCCCTCCCAAGCAGTGGCCAGAGGCACCTGGGTAACCCTGATGTCCAGCCCCTGGGTGTTGAAAGGGCAGGAGAACAAGAAAACCAACCCCTCCCCATACAACTGCCTGTTCCCCAGAAACCTGGACCTTCCCAGTTTCCCCAGCCCACAGCAGGCTCTGGTGCTGCAGCTCCATTCCTAAGGGTCGACAGTTATGGGATCACCCCCCAGCATCCTCACGTACTGCCGGGGCATCGCTGCCTGGCTCCCCTTCACAGCCCCACAGGGGATGGCTGGCAGATGCCAGAGCAGCCACACTACAAACCCAGGGCCAAAATAATGGAGGAAAATGGTGGTGGCAGCAACGCTGTGTTTGATTGGAAATGGTTAATTACTGGGGGGAGGTTTGTGGTAACGTCCTGCAAAGCCGACAAAGCCCCAGCGTGGGACTGCTGGTAATGGCTCTCATTAAAGCCATTGGAGCAGGAGGTTGAAACCACATCCATTTTCCTAAACCACTTTCAGAAGGGGAAAATTGCTGTTCTAGCCCCTGCTATTCATGGTGTGCTGGGTACTGAAGGCTGAGAAAGGCAGGGCTTGTCTCCCTGAGTGCAGAGGCGGAAGTCTGGACCATTGCCTTTCCTCAGAGTCAGGTCTGCAGGCCATCAGTATAACCTTTTTTCTTAAGTTCAGGAAAGATGTGGAGAGCAAAGGGATCTTCATCAGGAAGAGGCACTGGGACCAAGGAATGACGCCCCTGCTGAAATGGGCTGTGAGCTGGAGCTGCAAAACTAAGGGGAGGAGTGATGGCCCAGGCAGGTCACCAGAGTACAGTCCTGGATTTGGCCCCTACTGACTTTTCTCTGCCTTTCTGTGCCTTTCTGCAGCCCCAGCTCCCTGTTGTGTCCTGGACCTGTTCCCAGAATCACAGATAGCCCCATTTCTCTGCCACCTCCTTGTCTCCTTTGCCCTTTCCACCACCCCATTCCCATGCTGCTGGACAGCCCCACGCCAAGGACCGCCCGGCCTCTCTCCAGCTCATTTCTCTTGCAAGCTTTGCTTGGTGGGTGTATTTTGCATCTGCTTTTTCTTTTTTGCTATTCACAGGGAACAAAGAAGGGGTCACAAAACCCACGGGCAGATGTCAGGACAGGGCTGACAAGCCTGGGAGAAGGGGCAATGCCACCCCCCCACCCCCAGCAAGGTCCTTAAGAGGCAAAGCCAGGGGGAGAAGGGCTTTGCTCCGCAGCGCCGGCTCTGCCCATCCCTTCCTCTCACTGCCCGGTCCTGCAAGGTGGCTGCTGCACTGTTCCACTGCTGCGTCCCTCTGCTCCATCCCTCTGCTCCATTCCTGCTGCTCCATCCTGCTGCTCCATCCCGCCTGGCCCAGACACGGCACCGGTCACGTCTGCTGTGGCAAGTGGCAAGTCTCGCCGATGGCAATGACCACGTCCTGGGACTGCCGGTCCCGGTGCCGCGGCGCCTCGGGCATCTCGCTCATCTCGTTGACGCTGTTGCTGATGCAGTTGATGTCGCTCTTGTTGCTGTTGTCATCCGGGTTGGGGCCAAAGATCCAGTCTGGAGGAGGGAAAAGCACAAAACAAGCCCCCTGATTACCTCTGGCTGTTCCCACGGTCCAAGCCGGCTGGAAAATTGCTGCCTCCTGCTACATCCTACCTCTCACTCTGGGTTCTCACCCTCCCAGGAGGGTCCCTTGCCCATCCCTGCCCTTTCAGCCCCCTCTGCTCCTGTGGAGTTGCAGTCTCTGCTCTTCCCAGCTCTGGGCTGGTTTTCAGGCTGCTGGTTTCTGGAAGCCCTCCCGGCTTAGGCAAATGAAATCACTCTGCTAATCCCAAAAATGGGAATGACATGTCTGTGAAGCGAAGTGTGCATCTGGGCTCTCGGGCGATGTATTTCCTACGGTGGGTTTTTGCTGTCTGAAACAGAGGGGACGACTAAATAACTATGTGACGTCCAAACTGGACCTGAGGCATGGCTGGGGACGTGGCTTTTCTGCCTTGAGAGTGTATCACAGCCACACCCTCAAACCCTCCATGGCAGCTTTGGGGCTGCGCTTCTCGCTGGTCACCAGGGCACCAGGATGTGGCTCTGAGCTGATCTCTCACAACCCTGAGGATGACTGTCCAAAACACAGTGTCACTGCTGGATGGCAGCATGACCAAGACACCCTCTGCAGCACAAGGGGCTGCAGCTCAGTGGAAGCAGGTGGTGCTGCTCTCCAAACAGCTATTTTTAAAAAAATTTGGCTATTTGGACAGTGAGAGGTCATGCCCAGCCATGACGGGAAGGCAGCAACAACAAGGAAACCAAAGTTGGGGAAATCCAGCCAAGGGGAGAAGAGCCCTTAGAATCTGGTGGTGGTGGGCAGGGGAGCATCAGCACCCCCCTGGTTTAGCCCTGCTCCCAAAATAAAGCAGAGAGAGCTGTCAGGAGGCAGACAGAAGGGCCAGCCTGGTTTAGCTTTTTCTGAGGGACTCCACTTATTTGCCAATGGATTGATCTCAAGAAATAGCATTTCTCTCCTTTGTGGCATGGGGCATTTTCTGTCCCCACAGGGCATTTCAACTGCAGCTCTCTGGTGGAGGATGCGGGCTGCCTGGTGGAGCAGGGACAGAGAAATGCACTCCCAGTGAGATGTTGCCTTTCTCATGGGCTGCAGAAAAAAGTTTTGCAGCAAAACCGAGGCTGAATGATGGTAAATGCCATCAAGTGTGAAGGGAATGAAAGATCTAATTTCTCGGCTCGCCAGTGGTGTCCAGGCATTTCTGCAGGTGTGAGAAGAGAGACGAGAATGACCTGTGGTTCTCTCTGCACTCGGTGTGTGCACTGTAGGTCAAATTTGCTGGCTCCAAGGAGGATAATGCTCCCACCACACTGGGCACAGGCAACATGTCCAGACAATGGCTTTTTTTTCTTGGTTTTCCTTTTTTCTTTACTTCCATGAGTGCACTAGCAGAGTCTGCTGGTTGTGTGACATGCAGGGCAGGAGAAGAACCACCACAGTTCCCTCAGATACTGCAGTGCTGGCAAGAGTGATTGGGAATCTCAACAAAGCCGATGGTCCAAAGGTTTTTGGGTAGTCCTGGGTCTGCCTCAAGTCCCAACCAGGGCATTTAGCTTTCACTTGCATGATCCACAGCTGTAGCCAGAGCCTGGGCTCCCCATCACAACACTTCCCCAAGGAAAATCACCCAAGCCCTAAAGGCTCATTTAGGTATTTTTTCCTTTGTAGCTTCGATTTTGCTTGGCTTCACTGGATTTAGACTAAAGCCAAACACTCCACCATCTTCCTCCTGGTCTGGCCCTGCAGCCTGGGCTGGGTCCACGCCAGACAGAGCCCCAGCCTCTTGTCCCCAAGACCTTCCAGGCTCCTCCAGCCCCCGCACAGCCACTTGCCGTGAGGAGAATCCAAAGGCAATAACAAGATTGCCTCCTACAAATACTATTAAAGGTCTCGGCTTGCTTGCCTTGACGTCAGCTGTAAAACTCCAGTGGGAGCAGGGGCTGGTCCAGCAGGGAAGGAGGGGAATAATCAGTGGGAAAAGGGGTGATGGGTCCCCAAATATCCTGGGAGCCACTGGATGAGGATTGCTGTGCGCAATAGGAAGCAAAGAGCTCAGCGTTGGATGCCTGTGAGTGAGGGGAAGTGGCACTTGGTGGCCAAATGATGAAACCTTGGGGACATTTGCAGGAAGCAGAAGAAGCAGGAGCTGGAAGCAGCACCGTGGAAAAGGCAGAAATGCAGGGGATGGGTGTTTTGTGACAGCACCAAGGGGACCAGCAAAAGCCATTTCTATGGGAAAAGGGTCACAATGCACTGTCACCAAAGGGGATGTGGCTGACCAGGGTGCCTGGGGAAGGTGGCTTGTCTGAGGCTGCCACAGTCTAATTCCTGGGTAAGAGCAGGCTGGATTGTACGCGCTAATCCGAACCACTGCTTCCCTGGGAATTATTTCTGGAGCCTGCTGGATCTAATTACCCAGTAATCTGCAGGAAGATGTAATTAGGCTGTCATTAGAGGGTATTTACTGCGATGCCTTTATGATTTGACTGTGTAAGTAAGGAGTGAAGTAATTACACAATTACACGTTATTTGTGGCCATTTATGGCCTGTAACTTCAGCGTGTTGCCATGTGTGGAAGAGGGGAGCGAGGCCCCGTGGAGCTGGCGGAGAATCTCCTGCCAGCAGGACCCTGGAGAAACAACCATAAAAATGTCAGCACCCTCATCTCCGCTGCCAGCCACTGCCGGATCTGTCCCAGCCACGCACGCTCCTCCCCAGTTTCACCCTACGGCTCCTCTCAGTTTGTGGGTGAGAAACCAAGGTCTCACAGGTTCCCCTGTGGGATGTCTGGGGAGGGAAGAGGGAGAAGAGAGAGGAGACCTGCAGATCTTTGGAGTCAGTGGGATTAAACCTTACTCTGATGGGGAGGGGCCTTTGCAGGGGATGGGATGCACAACCTCACGTCATGTGCAAGGTTTATACAATGTAAACCTCGGATAATGAACCTCGAGACGAGGCATAATCAGGTAATGGAGGGTGGTGAAGAGCTGGGAGCCAAGGCATGGTGGTCACAGCTGAAGGTAACTGCAGCCCTTAGTATCATGTCACTTGTTTCTCTCTCCGTCTCTTACATCTGGCAGGGGGGCTGAATGAGCAACAGAAAATAGACACAATTGCCACTGAGAGGAAAACAAAATCCGCTTTTGGATCAAAGTTCACATATGTGTTCACGCAATCTCCAGCCAGAAGGCAAGCAAAATCAGGCTAAGCCAGGACACCCAGTGATCCTGGGACACCCAAGGGCAGAGCTGGGGTGAGCAGGGACCACACAGTGTGCTCCTGGGATGGTGGCACCTCTGGACCCTGGACAGTTGCATTCTGGAGATAAGAAGAAGCATTTCCTGCCCCTACCCAGCCACTGGAAGGAGCTCATAGCACATGCTGCAAAATCCAGGGCATGCACACGGGCATGTCTGTGAATGTCTTGGATGAAAGAAAGGGACAAAGTGACTTTCTCAGCCAGGCTGGGGAAGCAGCATCTAACCTAGAGACGCCTCTCCCTGCTCATCAGGAGCTGTCGAGGCTCAGCGTGCCTGCTGAGGTTGGCGGGGCGAATGGAGAGGTGGGAAGTGCTGAGGTGGGGTGAGATCAATACGGAGAGATTGATCCAAAGCAGCTGGAGAGAAGAGATAGAGCAGACTGGGCAAATCTGGAGTTGTGGAATAGCAACCCTATTATTATTATCATCCCTAAGTAGCAGAGTAATGTGGCACAAAACTCCCCTGCACTTCCCTGGCTCTGTCAGAGTCTTTGACAGCACCCCTGGAAGCAGACACTTGAGATGTGCTGTGTTTTTGGGGGCAGAAAAACACTGGGGTTGCCCAGATGTCACAGTGTGCCCTCCTTGTTCCAGCAGCATGAAGGATGGCCCTCGCTTGGAAAACCCTTACAGTGCAGGCAGCAGGGAGCAGCTTCCTGCTGTCTGTGTGCAGAGGGGCACAGGGATTCTCTACCCCCAGTCTCATCCCAGTGGGGGTGTCCAGGTCCCCTGCATTCATTGGTGACAGGGTGGGATGTCCACGAGGCACTTCAGCCACTGGAAAAGAGATATGCCCAGCAGAAGACCAGAGGGAGGTGGGAGAAAGGGCTAAAATTTAAATGGTGAATGAGACATTCACAGTCCCTGCAGAGGTGGAAACAAGGAAAGGAAGGGGTAGCATGTTCAATGAACAATCAAACTCGTGCTCTAATTTTGCTTTAAATGGATCTGGGTGTGAAAGCAGGTGCTAAAAAAGCCCTTTTCCCAGCAGCAGGAGCAGAAGCTCCTTTTTCTTTAAAACAAGTCCTGACCCAGCAATCACATTGTGCTCTGCAGTGAGGCTGGACCAGCTCTGGCCAAAGCATTCCCGACGGACATGAGTTCAAGGGTATCCCTCATGTGTTTGACAGGATGCAGCATTCACAGCTGGACATCGTATCTGTCTCATTTGCAGGACAGCCTCTACTTATCCATTAGCAAAATCAGCAGATAACTCCCAGGTTTGTTCTATTGGAAAACCTGTGTCTGCCCCTGGCAATAGTAATTTGTTGGCAAATTCCCTTTTCTCCCAGATTCGCATCTTTCCAAAGGAACTTGCTGTTGGGGTCTGTTCTTCCTTCCCCATTTTGAAGAAATTTGTTAGCTTTGCTGTGCTGGCTGAGTCAAAATTGTCCTGCACCCCCAGCAACATGAGCACACTGCTTTGCTGATAGACAGGTAAGGACACTGTCCCTCTGCAGAGCTGTCACCGGCGTGAAGCATCTGGTGGGGAAAGGGTGTGACACGGAAAAGGCATTCAATCAGTTATGATATTCTCTTAAAAACAGCTTCTCTGCACCAGAACAACCCTGGACCAAGCCTAAATTTGATCCCAGTCCCATCCATCGAGCAGCATTGCTGCTCCAGAGAGTGGGTCTCAGAGAGGTGATGACGCAGGTGTGGTGGGTGGGAGGCTGGCATGCTCCTGGGAGTGGATATTTGCTCTTCCTATCCTCCAGCCTTAGATGTTCTCCCCAGAGGCAGAACCAGGATGGCCAGAGAGCGAGGAGGAGTTGTGGTTGGCCTCAGCTCGAGAAAGACCAGTGCTTGCAGAGGAGTAGAAAGGCACAGTCCTTGCCCCAGGGACCTGACAGCCCACCGCTGGACCACACGATGGCAGGAATGGGAATGGTGCTGTGGGATGGCGCATCCCCCAGGCCAGCCTTGGTCGATCCCCGGCAGCGCGTGCTGGAAGCCATTCCACTGCTCCGGCTTTGTGCTTCAAAGATTTGGCTGCAAATGCAGTTATCCTGGAGTGGGGCCACCTCTGCCTTCTTTTTGCAGGGCAAGGCCACTGTGGCCACTTGTTTGGCCAACAGCTGCAGCCTGTGGCCGTGGCAATGCCAGCGTGGATGTGGGGATGGGGCATCTGCCTATTAGTACAGTAGCTGGGAGTGGGAATTAACCCAGTGAAAGCCACCCTACAGCAGCCACTGCTAGACATCAGCACCCATAAACAGTGGCTAAAGAACCCCTGATATACCCCCGTGCACCAGAAGGGAAACTGAGGTGGGGTGTTAGTGTCAGGGGTGGGTTAGCACTGAGATGGAGAAACAGAAGGGAACATGATGTGGTATCTTCTTTTCCCACAACTTTGGGAAGCAAAGGAATCATCCTCAAAACAGAGCCTGAGAAGCAGACATGTAAGTCCTCTCTGATGGGTCTAAGATGCTGTCTGCAATCCCTGCCTTGGGCTGAATTATCCTAAGAGCCCTGTGGTTCTGTGTGGAGCAATTAAAAGTGGATCCCAAGTCTCTGCAGGATCACCCAGCAGCTATTTTCAGCAATGCTACAGTCATGCACAGTTTCTTTGTTCAAGGAGACCGTTTCCTAAAGAAGCCTGAAATGTGGCAGTTAGAGATAAGGATGAAAAACAAAAATACAGCCAGTGGGTCAAAAGGGCAAAGAAAAGAAAGACCCCGCTCCAAGAACAGCTCAGGGTTTTGAGCAGTCCCAGGGCATCGAGCAGTCCCAGGGCATTTTGAGCAGTCCCGCCGGTGTCAGTGAACCCGCCCTGCCTTGCCCCAGCTGGACAATTGCCTTGGGCCAATTCCCAAAGGAAAAGTTTCCTCCAAGGTCTCCTCTGGAGATCAGCAACCCAGAGGTGACCTCGGCTGAACCGGGTGACACCAGTGAAGGTCTCCCTGTGAAGCACCACTCCCACACAGACCATCAGACCCTTCCCGTGTGGTTCCCGTGCAGGAGCGAGATGCTTTCCCCTTTCCCGGGGACCACACGCGCGCAGTCTCCATAGCAACAGCTTTGTTTCCAGTCAAACTTTTTATTTTTTTCCCCTTTTTCCTCCTTTTTTTTATGTTTAAATAAGGGTGCTATTCAGTGAACTGCTGGGGACGGAGGAGGGAGGGCGGGCTGATTCCCGGGGATTGCAGTAATTAGGCGCCTCGTACGTTGGTGACAGGCTTGTCATTTGCCAAGCCGGCTCTTCGCCGCAGCGCCGGCTCTGGCAGCTCTCCAGCGCTTCCGAGTTAAGCAGCTTTCCAAATGCTTCGACCCAATTTGCCTTAACTGGTGGTTGGGTCTGAGCTGCGCTCACGCGGGAGCCTTTCTGCCCCCTCGGGGTGCTCACATCCACCCCCAAGCAGAGGCGCCTGAGGAGTTTGGGGAGAGTGTCAAACATGAGACTTTGTCAGCTCAGAGCAAGTGGAGAGGGATCAGAGAGAAATTAAGCTTTTTGGGGCTCTCCTTGATCAGGTCCCTCCAGAAAGAGCTAAAGAGGGGCTCTTTCAGAGCCCTCTTATCCATATCCAGGTGCTCTGCCTTCCTCCTCTCTGACAACGCATCTTTCCCCCTCCTCCAACACAGCCTCCCATTTTCTGCTCCTCCCCACCCTGCTGGGCATCACAGCAGTGTTCATCTCCCCATGGGGATGCCTGGGCAAGCTCTGATTCTTTAAGAATCATCTGCAGGAGAGGTCTCACTGTCTCAAATATCTGTTCGGATTTCACAGGGCAGGAGCTTGGCAGCATCCTGAGAACCCCCCTTTGCCATCCCAAACCAAGACCAGCACCTGCTTCTCACAGTCCCCGTGAGTGCAGGGGGTGGGTGATGCTTTGACTTCCCAAGCCATGTCTGACAAGCTGTTTTTGAGGAGTCAAAATCATCCTTGATGCCTCCAAGTGACTCTTTAAAGTGGCGATTAACTATTCACGCTTTAATCTCCCCAAAACAGGCTCCAGCCCTTTGGCATCTTATTTCCATCTCTCTCTGTATCCTTCCAAATATGGTTAGTGCAGAAATGCTGATAGCAGAGGTTGGAGCTGCTGCCGAGTATATAAATCCAGGCATTGTGTTAAGGCAGCTAATAGGCCAGCTTCTTATTTACTATCCCTCGGACCCTCTGTCCTGTCCCTAAAGTAATTTTATGCAAACTCACTCAAATGAAACCTTCTCTTTAAGGGCTGTTCCTTGGCAGTGTTAACAAACACAGACTCGTCCTCTCTCCTCCGAGGACTGGGCTCATTTTGAGCGTTATCAACTGTGGGAAGACAGGCCCGGAGTGCTAACTAGGATGAGCTGGAGGCAGCCTTCGGCACTCAGCGGTGCTGCTGGAGTTCGGGAAATGCATTTTCCTCTCCGCCTGGATGGGGGAGAAGCTCACATCTGGATTTCTGACCCTAACTTTGGAGAGGTGTTACCTCCACCCTGAGCAGGGAGAGAATGCTCTGGCCCTCAGCAAGGGCACTGAACTGGGAAAGGGCTTCTTCCAAAGTGACAGGGAGCTGGCAGAGCCCAGGGCTGTCCCTGCGCCTGTCCAGCTCTGGGATGGCTGCTGTGCTGTGAAAGGCTGTGGAAGTCCCTTTGCAAAGGGCTTTGTGAGGAAGGGGCACCCCTCTGACCTCGTCCCACGCAGAGGCTAAAGCTAAAGGTCACCAGGGAGCATTGCTGATGAGCTGGAAATAGCAGAGTCAGGGGCACAGGTGTCCCAGACTGCAGCTGCAGCCTCCCTCCCTGCCCACAGGGGCATGGCATTTATACCGATTTTGGCCCTACTTTGCAGTATCCAAACAAGGGGTGGGTTTGAGCACTCACATCTGTGCTCTCCTGCATCATGGACCCAGCAGCTGGGGCAGGGGCCACTGTGACTGGACCGGCCCCCGCTTCGGGGGAGTTTCTAACCTGGCCTGACCTGGTCCTTTGAGCATCTTGGGGCAGCAGCATGTGTATTTTTAGGTGCTGTCCCCACTGCCTGTCTTTGTTGGGAAGGCAACGCTAAATCAGATGAGTGGCAGAGCTGGGTGATGTTACAGCCCCAGAAAGCTGCTGATTAAGTGTTAAATTTAACACTTAAGACAATATATCCTTTCCCTTCCATCTGGAGCGAAGAAAGACTCCTCAGCAGCTGCTCCCTGTGGTTTTCCTGACTGAGCTTCATGTGACATCCCGAGTACTGCACCCTGCCAGGAGGCTTGACCTTTCTTGTCCCAAATACTTCCTCCCTAAATCCCCATGTCCTGGATCTGCCAGCCCTGCCTGGTCATGATCCTCTCCCCAAGCCTCCCATCAGCAAGGCATGGGTGCTGCACGCCCCGCAGGCACCGATGGAGTTTTGGCTGGTGCGTGTCTCCTGCGTCCCAGGAGCAGGGAAATAAAGGGAATCGTGGATGAACATGTGGATTTTGTTCCAGATAAGTGTGAACTCCCTCCCACTGCAGAGATGGAGCCTGCAGGGCTTCGTCCATGGCTCGGAGCAAGGGTGTGCAAAGGGATTTTAGCTCTGCTCCCTGAGGAGGGCATTGCTCCCCACAGCTTTTGCAGGGTACGCACATCTGCAGGAGCCAGAACCTTAAACCCCTCTGGGGATCCCTCCTGGCTTCCCATACAAGCTGGAAAGCTATCACCAGCACCCTGCAGCAAGGCCCTGACCCCCAAAAGGACATGGTGAGCTGGCTGTTGGGGCCAAAAGTACTGAGGATTAAGAAGGGAATCAGGCACATTTGCACTCCCCAGCCTGACCAGCCTTACAAATTACAGGCCAAAATCACTGAGGGCTTGCCATAAGCAGCCAAGCACCTCTGTGTGCACCTCTGCCTACACCACAGCCTGACCACAGCAGCCAGCAGAGCGTTTGCGCTCCTGTCCCCGACAGCGAGGGACTGTTGTTCATCAGCAACAGGATGAAACCAAAGAGCCAGGAAGTCAAACCTCACAAAAATGTACACTCTTTGAGCTATTTGTTGCAGAGGCTGTGAGGGCTATGCTAGGGGCTGCACAAGGGAGCCAGACTGCTGAGCTGTGTTTCCTAGGAGTTTGTGGATTTGCTGGTGTCTAATAAAGGGTTAAGCTCATATGGCAGCTTTTCTTTCATCATGCACTAGTGGGTTGTTATCCTGTGTTCAGGCATTTGTTGCCATGAAACTTTTCATGTTGGAGACCTATAATCCAAGCTTAGATGGAACTGGCCAAAGGATTTTAACAGTCATTTGGCAACACAGACTTACGCACATACACATTTAAACACACGCACACACAAGCTTTGTTTCTTTAGGAAGGGGGCTAAACCCAAGGATTTTCTCTAGGAAGGTGGTCAACATACAGCTCAATTTGGAGAACTCAGAACATTAAATTAACTGCCTTGCAAATGTGAAAGGGCCAAGGCTTGGTCTAAACCCCATCCAATTCAAAGTAGAGACGCGATCCAGCACCTCCAGGCTTTGCACCAGGCTTTTTTTGGCCACATGCACACAACGTGTGAAGCCTGCACTCACCTACAAAGTCGTAAATGAGGTCTTTGATGAGATGCCCGACGATGGCGTACGCCACTGCCACCACCACCAGGGCTGCCATGAGGAGGTAGAGGACAGCCTTGGGCAGAGGAATGGCATCTCGTGGAGGGGGTTTGTACTCCTTGTAGAGCTGGTCATTGTCCGAGTATGAGTACTGGAACAAGTGGTCCAGGCCAGCTGTGAAGTTGCTGGAGTTCATGGACTGGCTGTTGGACAGGTAGTTGTCCTGCTCAGGGTCCTGGAGGACACTTACCACCGAGCTGGTGGTGGCTTCCACTTGCTGTACCAAGTTCAGAGTCTTGTTAACGCTGGGGAGGATCTGGGAGAGGAAAGTGCTCCAATCTTTGATGGCACTGATGTTGCAAATAATCATAATTGCAATGAGGAAAGAGATCTCCAAGCTCAAGAGACTTAAAAAGGAGAGAAAGAGGCGAGAGTTGCTGTACTTACACCAAACCATGTACTGCAAACCGGGCAGAGAAGGTCTTGACGGGGTATGTTTCTCATTTGAAAATTCTTACATGATCCGGTAGGGATGCATCTGTGGTACCTCGGTCTCACTCCTGGAAATGCCCGTAGAAAACCCCTATGGGCATGAAGTTCCTTAGGAAAAAGTAGATGCTGGAATGATTTTGACTGATATCATTTTTGTTCCTCAGCCGTCTCTCCCTGATGCTACCCACTGATGAAAACCGGAGAGACAGGATCCTGTAGGTATTTTCAGTCATCTGGAAAAGAAAGATAAATTGCCCTTCTCCAGCCTTTTTTTTTTTTTTCTTTTTTCTTTTTCTTCTTCACAGGCGATGGTCCTTGGAGAGACAGAAATCCCCCCTTTGCTGTTCCCCAGGCTCGGTCAGGAGCGAGGTGTGCGGTGCCGCGCTGTGACTCTCCCGTTAACGCTGCCCGAAGCGTTCTCAGAACAGAAACATATATTCAAACCCCACAAAGTTCAGCTGCTCCCGGCGTGTGACGGAGCCGGCGGCGCGCAGCTTCCCGGCCCTTCCAGCCCGGCTCTCAACAACTTCTTTTGCCGGCATCTCCCGATCGATTCCTTTAAAAACAAAACCCAGAGTCAGAGACCGCGGCCGCGCCAGCAACGAGCCCAGCACACACGGTCCGCGGAGCGCAGCCCAGCCCAGAAGCGGCCGCTCTCGGGTTTTACCTTAAAGACTTTTCCAAGCGAACAGATCCCCTCGCCTGATGCTCCAGCCTGTTTTATTCAGCGCCCTACGGAGCTCCCCGCACGCAGCCCCCGATGCGGTGCCGCTGCTCGCCGTCTGCGGGGAGTGCGGGCACGCCTGCGTGTGTGTGTGTGTGTGTGTGTGCACACTCCTCCCCGTCCTCTTCCCCTCCTGTCCCTTCACCCCGCAGCCCTGCTCGCTCTCCCCAGCCGCCCCGGCTCCAGCAGGGAGGGGGATTATCTGCCGAGAGCTTGGCTCCACAACTCCTAAGTGCGCCGCGAAGCAGGCGATGCGTGGCGGGAGCGTAGGCTCAGCCTCCGCCGCTGCTCCCCCGGGGAGTTAATCCTTTCGATGGCAAAAAATAAGATGAGCTTTGATCCGTCTGCTGGATCTTCCCGGAGAGGTGGGGGGCAAGGTGGGGAGCAGCCGGATGGCCAAGTGCGTGTGGATGCGCGGGGGTACCCGCAGGTCCAGCCCGCCCGCGCGGAGCACAGCCTTTGTCTGGGAGCTGTGCCGCCGGCAGGGAGAAATCAAATCGCGGGCGCTGCCGGGAGGAGGGAGGACATCATCAATCCCACCGCCAGCATCCCATAAGAGTGATGCTCCCTCCCCACAGCCCTGCTTCCCTCCTCCTGCAGCCTCCACCCAGCAAAGTTTTGGCATCAGAGGGATGCCCGGTTTGCAGAAAGGCCAGAGGGTTTGACGCTGAGCTCCCTCACCCTCTCCCCTCCTTGGTTAGCTGTCTGTGCCAACTGGTAAGAGCCAGCCCGTTCTTGGTCACCTTGATAATGGTCTTAAACTGGCTCATGTTCCCTACAAACACATCTCCTCATCTGCCTTGGCATGGGATTTCAGTGGGGTGCTGGCTTGGTTTGAAGACACTGGGACTTCATTAAAGAGGAGGAAGAGGAAATTTTAGAGAGGGGGAAATTGTCTTTCTATATTTGGAGGTGAAAATAAATCACAGCTCCATTTTTCACTTCTGCCTTTTTTTTTTTTAAATTATTTTCATGCTGCTTCCCCATGTAAGAAACAGCTGTCACGAGGGCAAGGAAATCACCACATTAGGCCTGAATGCAGCCAAATGGAGCTTCTGAGAAATAATAGCAAAAGATTAACTTTTTGTGTGTGTCTGTCTGTGTGTGTTAGCAGCCAGCAGCAATCCCACCAGCTGCCTGGGGCTTGGAAGAGTGTAGAATAAAATGGCAACATCTCTCCCGTACAATAAAATCACCAGGGCTTAAGGTTTGTGATGGACAGATTGTACAGCCCAGGAGCAAAGAAAATGTGGAGAGGAAAGCTTTTCTGCTCTCCATGGAGTGTGCGTGGGCCCCGTCTCAGTGACTTCTGGCTTCCAGGAACGTTTAACAGCATCCTAAAATTTCTTCTCGGAAGTAACCAAGCTGTGACTGGTTACAGAAAGACATCTGGACAGCTGCACTGATACATATCCTGCCATGGGACATGTCCTGATGTCTCCCTGCCCCAGCATCATGATGCCCAGTGTTGGAGCAGCTCCTCTGCCCCCGAATCATGAAACCATGGGGATGCTTTGAGGGCCAGGGCAGGAATCAGGAGCTAAGGGCAAATGGCTCCTCTCACAGACTCTGAGTCCTCTCACACCAGATTTTATCCTTCCAAGAGGAAAACGTGGCAAGATTATTTTTTTATAAGAACTTTTCAATGCAAAGTGAGTTCTGGGCTCTGTGCAGGGATACCTCAGTGCAGGCTGGCTTTGCCCTGCTCCAGAGGCACATCCTTTGGCTGGGGTTCCCAGAAGTAGGGGACAACCCTTGGGATGTGTCCACTGGTCCTTGGGGACCGAAGCTGCTCTGAAGCTGTACTTTCACAGCAGCTGTTTGGTGTTAGCAGTTGCCATGGCATCAGTGCATCAACCAGAGGGAACAGCAGAGAATCTGGTCCAGGCTGAGCCATCCCCGTGCCTGGCTCTGGGATGCGACAATCCTAGGCAGGCTCCCACCAGGCTGTGCCTTTTTATTCCCAGGAGGGGATGGAGCTGAGTGATTTGGGGTAAAATATTTGTAAAGCTGTCTGTGCATGGGGAGACTAATGAGAGAAACCAGGGGCAAAATTGGCAGCTGTCTGCATGCCTGGGGACAGCTGGTGACAGCAGCCTGCACCTCGCTCCAGTGGGACACAGGGCAGACCCCCTTGGTTTCCAAGACCTCCACTGAGCACTTCTGGGAAGAGTCTGGAAAAGCACTTAGGGAAGCTCTGAGTTCTGCTGCAGGCACTGACTTCATCAAAGGGGCTTAGGGTAATACCACAGAAATAACCCTCCACCTTCTGTGTTTCCCTGGAGCGGAAGGAAAGTTGGCTCCTTTCATTTTCGTTAACACCCTTATCAATTCAAAGTGACTAAATAGATGCTTAACTGTTCATTATACACTCCCTGCATCTCAGGGCTGAGAGGGAGGCTTTATTTCCACAATTATGGTTTCCATCCCATTACAGAGGGAGAGAGCATGAAGAAATATAGAAGTGTGGATTTTAATAACCATATATTTCAAACTCTCTGTTATTAAAAAAAATGTTTGCATTTACTGTGATGGGAGGAAGATTAAAAGGATTGCCATGGATTCCACTTAGGGAACATTGCTAATGATTTCAATAAATCACTTTAAATAAAAATCACAATCTCCACAATTCCACCCAAATGCCATTTGGCAGAGGGGTTGATTATAGGAGGAAAATGAATTTCAGAATTAGCTGCTTGTCCTAATGCAATTGGACAAATCAAATTTAGGGATACACACATATCCAATGAAACACATATCTCATGCAGAAGAGCGGTGTTTTGGCCCCTGGGAAAAAGAACAAATATTGTTTTAGTGGGTCAAGAAAAATCTTGTCCCTCATGATGGATGTTGTGGGTTTGTTTCAGCTATTTCCTAAGTATTTTTATTTTATGGCTTATTCCCTACATAACTACAGTCAAAGCACTGGTGTTTTATTTCCACCAAGGCAGGATCCAACTGACTATTGGGACTTGTCTTTGACAATGCTGGTGTCCATGTAGAGCTGAAAAACTGCCCTGACACATCGCTAGCGATGCCCAGAGCGGACAGTCTTGACTCCTGTCTTGTGTCTGGGACCACATCCCAAGGTCTCTACAGAAGGTGAAGCCCAGGTGCTACACCAGGCCTGGAGATCTGCTCCCAGCTCCACTGCTGGCTGCTTGTCCTGCTTGGCAACACATAAGGGACACGGAGGCAACAGGCTATGGATGTGGCAACAACTGTCAGGTGCAAATGGAGCTGCGGGGGTGGAGAGCAGCGTAGGAGTTTATCCCCATGCAGCGGGCTGTGCCTTAGGAAGGCTTTGTGTCTCGCCCTGGCCGAGAGCTATGCAGAAGTTGGCAGAAAATGTAGTCAGGAGGTGCAGCTCCAGCAGCAATATCTCCATCTGTACTTTTGAGCAAGACATTTGTTTGCCCAAGGGTAATTTTTACAGCCTCAAGGTTTTTTGTGTCTGTCTTCTGTGCTGGCTGCTGGCACCAAACTCTGATCCCCACCAGAGAGACCACCACGCACTGTCAGCAGAATAAGTGTAAAGATCTACACCCTCATATGGCACACAAGGCAAAACAGTCTTCACAGGACTTCTTCAAACCATGCAAATTTTACCTGTGCAGGGTGACATCCACGTTCCCATCCAGATGCAAGCTCATGGGGGCTGCACAGTTCCTGTCCCAGTTTCTGCAGCCTTCCCATGGATGAGGCATGCTGACCTTCATTCATCCCTGTGTGGGCCAGATGCTCTTCCCTGCCTCCCTGCCTGGCTGTGCTCAGCTTCTGCACTACACCCTGGAGCAGCCACTTCCTTCCTAAGCAAATTCCATACCTGTACCAAAGTTTTGGTAGCAACCTTCCTGCATGACAAGAAGTTGTGAAATATGGGCTTATCCTGTATTCCCATTCCTGGCATTCGTCTTGCCCAGCGATTTCTGCTTGAACAAAACAAACAAACAAACAGGGAACAGCAGCAATTTTTAGCAGATGAATCAGAGCGAGCTATCTTTATCTATCTATATATAAAAACACCTTTTTAAAAAATTTTTTTTTTGATGCTGTATTATTCATGCTCCCAAAGCTGAAGAAGTCCAGATTATAATAATAGACATAATAAATATGGCATATTAAGTGCAGTGCATGGGAAGACTGTTCCCTATCTGCTGTCTCTGGTAAGCAAAGTGGGGTTTTAACTCTGCGTGTGGCACCATCTCATGGACAGCTTGGCTTATTCAAAGGACTTTAGAGGCTGAAGGCAGGCACAAAATTATCCAGCATGAAAAGCTTGCTTCCTGAAAGAAAGGGGAACATTTCCCAAATAAACAAACCCAGGGCAACAGGCATAATTGCAGTGGAGCTGAGGTGGGAAGAGTGAATTACATGTTTTGTTTGCATCTCTAGAAAATGCTATGGCAAAAAAAAAAACATTTGTAGGGGGTATCTGTGGTTAAATCTGACACATATGGGCAGAGCAGAACAGGAAGGCTTCATCCTAACAGGTGGTCAAGTCCTGTTTTTCCATGTCTAGTTCTACTCACAGCTTTGCTATCCTGAAACCCAGTGAGAAAGTGAGCCAAGCTGTGTGCATCCAACACCTCCCAAAGCCTCTCAAAGGGATCTGAAGGGAGAAGTTGGCAGTCTGCACATTTTCTATATTCTCTGCCATCTAAGCTGGATACGCAGATCTAAAATAAAAAAAGTCACCAGCTGTTTCTTTCAAGCAAAATGGAGAAGAAACTGCATCGATGCAAACCTGTTGGAGTCTTCAGAGAGTTTGAAAGGGCAGGACTGAGGTGTCAATCCACCTGCTAACATCTGGGCTCCAGGAGGAAACTTTAAATGGCAACAATGGTAGAGGAAAGGAAAAATGAAGGATCTGAGAAAGGTAAATAGGAAAACTTACCTCCTTCCCTGAAACAGCTAGAAGTACAGGAATAGAGACCTCCCCAGACACCAGTTCTCATTCCCTACAGACACTCATAGGAGTGTGTGGCTGTGCTGCCTGTCCCTTGCAAAGTCCTTGCTCCAATGCCACCTTCTCCCACACAATGACCCACTTCTAACAGGGGACTTCTAAAGTTATGCTAGTATTTCAGGTGT